GAGGCCTGCTATTTCAGCAACAGAATAAATAAATCGGTAACCCAGTAGGAGGTAACTGTACTTCGGTCATTGCCTCACATATAAGCAGCTCAATAAACACTAATGGAAAAACAGGTCCCGAAGAACATTTTGAAGAAACAAGAGCCTTGGTTCGAACCCATATAACTACTGGTATGGTCACATCAATTTGATGTATGGCACTGAAAGCTATAGGGAAGCTGGTCTGCTGAAATTTAAGATCTTGGTGTCTGTGTATTAAAAGCTCTGACCCATTCATCAAATTCTCTTTTAAATTACAAATGGAATTTTAAATGGCTGAAGATAAAATGTGTACTTTCTATATATTGTAAAATAGCTTACTCTACGCGTGCCCCCAAGTGTGTAAATGCTTAAGCACTAACTACTGAGTTAGAAACTCATGTTTTGATTGCTTCCTATTACTGAAATCATGGGGAAAGTCTTGGAAAAATAGAGGATGGGCTTTTGAGGAGGTTTTGAGCTGCTTTTCTTTTTCTCTCCCTTCTTTCCTTCTGTCCTTCCTTCCTTCCTTCCCTCTTTCCTTCCCTCCCTATCTCCCTTTCATCCTTCCTTTCCCAAATATGTTGTGGACATCTCTGTGCACCACGCATTGTTCTAGGCAATGGAGTATAGCAGAGAACTGCCCATATAGCACGTAAATTTTAACACGTTTAAATTGTATCTCTATTTAGCATGTGACTCTGGACCTGAATTTCATTATCCCAGTGTGCAAAATAAGAATAATGCTTCTTATTTTATAGGGTTATCAGGGTGATCGAAATGAGATAAACGGCAACTTGACCTGGGGCTTAAACATATTCAGTCCCTTTGCTTCTCCTGATTTGGCTACAAACATGATTTTTGTTCCTGTCCTGTACTCTGGATTTCTGTATTTGCCCTGTTCTTGGTCTCTCTACCTCAGTTTCTGTTTGCACATCTGTATTTGCATGTATCTCAGTACCTGTGTTTCTGTGTGCAGCTGTGTCTCTGTATTTGGGTGTCTCTATGTGTGCTACTCTCTTTCTTCAAGTCTGTCTCTCTGTTTCTCGTTCATCTTCTATTTTTCCCCTTTCTTTCTGTGTGTGTGCATGTAGTATGTGTGAGAGAGAGAGAGACAGACAGAGACAGTCTTTCCGTGTACATGTATCTTTGTCTCTGTATCTTGCTCTCAGAGTATGGGTCTCTCTCTGTCTCTGTGAATATGTCTCACTTCGCATCCCTATGTGAGTGTGTGTGAGTGTTTCTGCATCTCTCTGTATTTCTCTCACAGTGTGGGTCTCTCTCTGTCTCTGCATATGTCACTCTGTGTCCACATTTCTATGTATTATCTTTATTTCATTCTCTGTCCCTTTCTCTGTGTTATTCTAATTCTCTCTCTCTCTCTCTCTCTCTCTCTCTCTCTCCTCACTGTCTTGCTCTTTATCTTGCTCTCTCTCTTCCTCTCTCCCTCTCTCTCTCTCTGTGTGTATCATCTTTTGCTTTCTTGTTCTGTGGGTCTCTCTCACTTTCACTCTCTGTCTTTCCTGCTTTCTATCTGTCTCTGTGTTTCATGCACTCTCTCTGACTCTCTGTATCTATTGGTCTCTCTATGTCTCCCATTTCTGCCACTCTGTCTTTCTCTTGTGTATATGTATATGTAGATGTTATGTATTCTTTCATTCATTTAATTATACTCATATTTATGCATGCTCTCCTCATTCCATTCTCAGCACAGCTTAGATATCCAGTGACTTTTAGGTAACCTCATGGCTCAGGAAGAATTAAAAGGAATAGGAATTTATTCTAAAGAAGGCTTGAGGGAACTTATCGACATAGGAGGCAATTTTTTAGATTACAGATGGATGTTATGAAGATTTGGTTGTATTTTAGATGATGCACTGCTAATTTTATAGCAATTTCAAAATTAACACATATAAAACCAAATATAATTAACAACCCTTAGACTCTCCTCTCAAATTCCATATATTCCAGGATCACTTTTTAATGCTCCCTTTGTCAATTCTGATGATTTTTTCTTCTTCGCATTTGTTATTCTGCTGATTCTCCTTTTCCATTTCCCTGACCATAACCTGGTTTCTCCCTTTTATCACCTTTCATCTAGAAAACTTAAGCTGCTGCCCTTGACCCCTGCCAATCTCCTAGTCCGTCATGCCAGTTGGAGCCAAGTTCAAGCTGTTTTTATATCAGGCTCTGTTTGATGCCTTTCTTTGGCTTCCAGTCATCTTCCAAGGTCACAGGAAAGCTTCACAACATCACTAGCTGGGTAGCCTTTTTAAAAAAGGCTTATCAGACCAATAGTTTGCCCACCTACCAATATGCTTAATGTGCATAAGAAGCTATTTGACCACTTTACAAATAAAACCAACTCACAGTTATTTGAGATAAAGCTCTTCTCAATAAAGAAACATAAAATGAACATACATGGGAATCTGGATGAGAAAGCTTTATGAACCAATATTTGTAGCACCAGTGTATTGTCCAGTTAACCAGATGGTGCTTGACTTATGTTAATATTAAGAAGTTGTTGCTCTTTTGACATTATTTATAATTTAGGACAAGAGTCAGCAGACTTTTTCTGTAAAGCACCAGATTAGTCAATATTGTAGGCTTTGTGGATTATACTGTCTCTGTCACAACTACTTAATTCTACCTCTGCATTGCAAAAGCGGCAATAGACAATCCGTATAAATGGGTATGGTGTAATTAAGAGACCCTTTTTATGTGACAATTTGGTAACAAAGTTATAAAAATATTTACAACTGTTGGCTTCTTCCAGGAATCTATCCTAATGAGATGCAATGATTTATAAACAAAATATTCACTCAGTATTATTTATAAGTGTGAATATTTACAGTTTGGCTATCCAAAAATAGGTGATAGTAAATAAATTATAACAGCAAATAAATTATTGTGCTATAATTATATGAAAATTATATAATCATGTTTTTAGAGTATAAGAGCTAATAATGTAGAACAAGGCCCAGAATGTATTATATTAATAAAGTAGAATAGTATATAGTTCTACATACAGTGTGATTATAACATTTTATGTACATATGTGGATATATAAAAATAATAATGTTGGTGTGGTAGGATTACAGATTATTCTTATTTCTTTTTTGATTTTTCTGTACTTTAAAATTTTTCTATCCTGTGCATGCATTTTAACATCAGAAGAAATACACATTCTCTTTTTCCCCATAACACTAAATATGAGTCAGTTGATTTTTTCTCATACCCTTCAAAGCATGATTTTCTGGACTTTTTTAAAGGAGAGGAAAATAGAATAAAAACATCTTGAGAGTTGAATAAATGAACTTTATACTTCTTGACAAAAGCCCTATCCTAGTTTTGATAATTTGATATTCTATATCAAATAAATCATTTTGGACCATTTAGTAAGCATGTTTAGCTATAGCCCACACAGGTTAAAGTCTGTGGAATTTGATTTATAAACCACCTTCTTATTGGTTTATGGAGTGTGCCAACACATTTTATAAATAATGATACTTGTTAAAACATCTCTGACCTGAAAAGCATCCAAGAATTATACCATATTAGTAAGTGTTCTCTGTTCAAGCGGAATGAATCCTAAGGTGTGCAACACTAGTGTTTTATACAGGAAAATGGCAGTGGAAAATCCAAGAGCTTGTTCCTGCCACATAGGCAATATCTGACTTGCCCATAGGTTGGAACAGGGGCAGAACTGCTCAGGGTTATATTTAGTGGTGGGAAAGAATCCTCTGTCCTGGAAAGAGCTGCTCATCTGAGTGAGTTTTTTTTTCTCTCCATCCGTAGAATATTTACCATAAACTCCACTGATGTGGCCCCAAGGAAATCAGCAAGTCAGGCTGTTGTTTCCAGTGTACCCATGGTCTTAGGTGTCTCTATCTTATTTTTTTTAATTAATTTTTATTTTATCAAATTGTTTTTACAGTTAAACAAAATCGAATAGTACTGTCAAGATAAAAAGTACCCACCTGCTATCAATACTTTGTCTCTGCAATGAACATAGAGGTGCCAGTTGGAGCCAAGTTCACTAGAGTTGCATAAATTAACATTTTCATTTCTTTGGATAAATACCCAGAAGTGTAATTGCTGGATCATTTGGTAGTTCCATATTTAGTTTTTTGAGGACCCTCCATACTGTTTTCCACAGCAGCTGCACCAATTTACATTCCCATCAACAGAGCACAAGGGCTCCCATTTCTCCATATCTTCTCCAACACATGTTCTTTCTTGTCTTTTTTAAGACAGCCATTCTAACGGGGGTGAGGTTATAATTATTGATCAGTGTACAATTCATGTTAATTAACATAGTGCTCATTGAATATAGCATAAAATATAGTTATATTTTTTTAATTCCAAAAGTAAAAATATGAAGTACCACACATTCAAAAATGGTAGTCACAAGTAGTTGTCATAATATTTGCAAGCCTAATATTACAGTGATTAGATGACCTCAATTTATTGTTTACTATATGCTAAGCACTGGGCTTATAGTAAACTGTATAGTGAAGTATGTAAGTGAGATAAGTGTTATCAGTTTTTGCAGATGAACAAACTGAGAATCAGAATGGTATTCAACCTTTTGCTCAAAGTTACATAGGTAATAAATGATACAGCTGAGAGTACAAACCTAAATATATTTTATAACTTTTTTGAAGTAATGCTTTTTCTCCTAAAATATGCTTTCTTCCTTACCTGATATCTACCAAAATAAGGCTTTAGTAGTCTGGAGTTTAGAAAGAGATTTTCCCAGTTAGGGGAAAATAAAAGCTCTTACTCTGGGCCAGTGTTAGTTTCATCAGCTATTGTACATGATTCTGCAACAGACTTACATGATTTTTTTTTTTTTACTTCCATTCTATTATCACACATATGCAACTTACTTCTAGATATTTGCCATTTAAGTAATAGTAATGAAGGAAAGAATTGGAAACTAGAACTAATAAATTCAAGTAAATCTTTTCTTCTAACAGAAAGAAGGAGAAAAAGATCATCAGGTGCATTTGGCAGTTGGAAATGTTCCATGGAGTGATATATGGAGAGAATTTTTGGACAGATTTGGAAATATTAAGATGTGTGAGTTTTATGGAGCTACTGAAAGAAACATTTTTTCAGTGAATCACACTGGAGAAATTGGAGCAATCAGGAGAATAAATTTCTTTTACAAAGTAAGTACCGTATTTTCTTTACAGAAGAAATATTTTGAGATCTACTGACCTCTCTTCTAGCTTTGTGCTTATAAATTATCATAAATATTATGATAATTTTTTTTTTTAGATTGAGAACGTCTATAAATAAAATAGTGGCCTCTAGGTGAACTATGTTTTCCCTCTATCTTATGCGGATAATGATACCTAATTATTTTGTTCATTTGCCAAATTTAATGATGTTAAGTATAAACAGCAAGCATATACCTTGATATATTTGACTCCATTTTCCTTGAGTATTTTTAATCCACTAATTCTACTTACCTTTTATTTTTATATCACTGAGAAATTATTTATAAGCTTCTAATATATGATTTCTTTAAAAACTGTATCAATACCACTAAAATCTTAAAAGCAGCCCCAAATCACCTTCCTAGGAGTAAAAGACTTATAGCTGATCTCTCTCTCAATAGCAGCCATGGAGGACAAACGATAATGGACAGATATCTTCAACTGGCTTGGAGAAAATAATTGTCAAAATAGAATTTATACTCAACAATATTTTTTAAAGAATGAAACTGAAAATAAAGAAAACAGCCTTGAAACTTATATAGCAAAATTTTTATAACCTCAAGAGGAAATAAATAAATTTAGAATCAAAGAATATTTTATTATAGCTCTTTCAGTATTTCATAGTTCAAGCAAGGGAAAAAAACTTCAATGATATAGAATATTTGAGTAACACAATAAACAAACTATTTGAACTCATGGACATATATAGGACATTGCATCTAAAAACTGGAGAACATGTATTCTTTTCAAGCAAATTTCAAAAGATTGAATAAATATGCCTTATATTCTCTGACAACAGTTTAATTAAAGTAAAAGTACATTTTTAAATGACAGCTAGATCATCTCCTATATATTTGGAAGTAAAACATCTCTAAATTTCCATGAGTCAACAAAAAATCAGAAATTAGAAAATAATTTTAGCTGAATCATAATGAAAACATTACATTTCAAAATTTGTGGACTCAGATAAGAACAGCTGAAAATTAGTGAGCTAAATATTCATTTCTATAAGTTAATTTAAAAATAAATAAACTCAAAGAAAATAAAAGGAAGGAAATTATTAATAAAGAGCATAAATTTTAAAAACAGAAAAAAAGTGTCAAAAGAGATAAAAATATAATTTTTTAAAAGCAAAGAAATAGATTTAAAGCTGGTGTAAAATTGCCTAACATTTGAAATCTAAAGAAGGTACAAACTGTTTTTATAATGCATTCTTTGGAATTTTAAGAGTCTTGTTGCTATGTCAGAAATACATTCATATTCTGAACCAAAGTAATTTTGGTAAAATAAGTGCTGATATTACTGAATTTTACATTCCTTACAGTTAATTTTCTTAATTTGTTTCACTGATTCTGTTAAAAATTGGTATTTATATTAAAAGCTCCTTAGTGAAGCTGAGTCATTCCAAAGTAATCATCCAATAGAAATACAATAAATATTTGTATTTTTATTACTGACTTGACTTCATTATAATTTTCTAATATCTTAAATTCCCTATCAGAATGTAATAATGTCAATAATGCACGAAGTCATGATTGTCTCCAATTTATTTAGAAAACTTCTGATTTTCAATTCATTTTAGGTTTTTTTTTCAGTTTGGAAATGAAAAAAAATGTACCTAATATCATATGAATTCTAGTCTGTCTTTTATCGTCTTATTCCCATACTGTTTTGTTACATAGCAGGCAACCAGAAAAATTTAGACCAATAACTGTTTCATAATTATGTGGGGAGATTTGATCAGAATGTCTCTCAAAAATTTAAACCTAATGGAAGCATTTGTTGTCTCAGAGAGGAATCAGCCTCTAAACGGAGATAGGATGTTATAAGTGAAGGAAAATGACAAGGCAGCAACACAGAGTTCCTGTGACCCAAACATCCTTCTTGTGGGCTGTTACTTAACTATTTAAATGTGTGACATTAAAGGAATATGGGTCCCATTTATGCCTCCAAAGCAAACAATATAAAAGAAAAATTGGTGACAATTTGAAAGACTAATCCAAGTTATGGATTGCCTTCTTTTCTACACCTGAGGATAATAATTGGGAAGAAACAAACATGAAATCCCTAGAGGAAATAAAACTTAAAACTTTCATTAGCGTTTGGACATGCTTCTGCAGCAGAAGGGGAGAAAATGTATCTACATAAAAAGCAGCTGAAAAAAATATGGATGCACATCAAATAATAAGTTCTCCAAAATGGACAGGAAATATTTAGAAAAACAGTCTTCTGTAGGTTCAAAAATTGCAATAATATTCTCTTTCGAAATAAAAGCTCAAAGAAGAGGAAAGTTGAAGGAAAATAAATCAACAAAAGGAGTTGGAAAGTGGCATGCTCAGCTTAAAAAAGAAAAATGAAAATATTTTGGAGATGAACACCACATTAAAGGACTTAAAAACAAACAAGACTAAATATTGTTAGGAAGCGAGACAGATGGGACTAAGGAATTACACAAACAATAAAAAGTATACACATAATAATATAAAATACATTAAAAAGATAAATTTTGAAGACACAGACAATGATCTGACATATGCTTAATTGGTGTTCCTGCAGAAAAAAAAAAATCAAAGAGATAAAAAAAATTATTTGAAACCTAATAGAAGAAAATTTGCTTTAAATAATGATTCGAATCTTTGGCAAAAGAGCACGCTGTGTTCAAGAAAAAAAAAATATGGCATAGAATGATCATCAGAAAAATATACCCTGGTGAAATTACCGAACATAAATTAAAGAACCATAAGGAGGTGCTGGGCAGAAAAGGCAAAGGATGTACAAAGTGCAGGGAGAAAATGGAAAACATCTTGGGCATCTCTCAAAAGAAAAACAAAACACTCAGTGTCGGGGGAAAAAAGGAAAGTAATGTTTTCACCTGAGAATATGAGATCTAAGTTGTTCTTCAAGTATGAAGGCAGCAAAGAAGTGTTCTCAAAATTTTAAGAAATCAGAGAATATAATACCCATGTATTTAGAGAAATGCAATACTTCTTTATAAAATTCATCAAATGAGAATTTCTGGTCAACCTGAAGATAAAGCAGAATTTAGCGATGAAAGAATCACCTTCGGTTAAAAGGTTTCATTGAATCCGTTTAAATATAGAAGGTTGAATAGCTCAGAGTTATGTTTACAGATAGAATGAGAATTTAAATCCTCACGATACCAATATAATTATGACACTAACAAAAATGGGAATTGGGTGAGAGGAGAGAAGGAACCATAAATGCTAATCTCTCATCTTTCATAGGAGTAAATCCATAGATGCAATGTAAAGATAAAATATGGGCTCTAATAAAAAGGCTCATTTTCCTCACATTTTACAAACTTTTTTTTATTGTCTTTAAAGTAGGCATCTTTTAGAGACTAGGAAATTTAGCCAACTGTGAAGTTAGGAAACAGTCCACACAAGAACACTCTAATTTCTAACTTCAATTGTAGTTTGAGAGTCCTTAAGACCATTTTTAGGTTCGATAATTCTAGAAGGACTCATAAAACTCACTGAAAGCAGTTATACTTAGAGTCGCACAGTTTATTACATCTAAAGGATACAGATTAAAATCAGCCAGAGGAAGAAGCAATAGGGCAGAATCCAGGAGAGCACAAATGCAAGGCTTCCCAGTGTTCTCTCTTATGGAGTCAGGACAGTATTTCTTTCTCGTAACCAATATGTAACAAGATACATAGAGTATTGCCAGCTAGGGAACTTTACCCAGACATGATGTCCCAAGTCTTTTGGGGGGCTCGATCATTTAAATCTAGTTGGCTGTGTCCTTAGCTGACCTCCATCTATAACCCCTCAGGAGGTCAAGCCAGGTGACTGACCCAAAGCCCCTCACTACATCATATTATTGGTGTAACTCAGAGATCCCACTCTAAATCATATTGTTTCTATCTGGTTGCCCAAGGCTCTTAGGCAAATAAATATACTCCTATCTGTCATGATTTTGCCGGGGCTTAGAGATTATTTCCCAGAAGCTGAGAGCAAAAGCTAGACCCCTCATTAAATTCTTAGTTTAAGGTTAAATTCTTTACCCCACAGGGACTGATATTTCTTATGCCAAAGAAACAGTTCACTTTAACTTCAGTTCCATATTCTTTTGTTAAAATCAAGAAAATTTCAATTGATTGCATTTATTAAAATGGTATGGTTTCATTTTTCACAACTTATTTTATTAATCAATTTCCTACCTTTCTTTCTATCAATTTAAACATGTTTCTAATGTTTATCAAATGCATTTTATATATATTTATTAAAAGTTTTCGATTTGCCTGATGCTGTGAACACAGTCAGTAAAAAGAGTTCTGTTCTTATTTGGCCAAAATGATAAATGCAGTTCCAGAACTTCTGGAATTTTTCTTTTTACCAGTCGTTAGGCAAGTGGCCAATATCTTGTTCCCCCAATTTACAGACAAAGACCAACAAGATGCAAGTTTGCATTTTAATAAAGAATATTTATGTCTAAAATAACAATATATTTTGCTTTGCAACCTCTTCATAGGCCCTCATCTTAAAATAGGATAATACTAATTTCTGCCTCACAGGGTGTTTTGATGATTAAATCAAATACTGCTCTTAAACTTTTAGCAGTGTCTGGCATATAGTACATGCTCAACCAATATTAATTGTTCTCATTTATATTTTAATTCAAATAATGAATTGTAGTTTCAGTTACATGCTGATTTTACTGATTAATAACCAGAAGTGTTTGTGTTTAGTCTTTGATAATAAGTAACACCATCACATTTATCTCATTAATCTTATTCATCTTTTCCTACTTACTTGTTCTACATTAGTTCATTCCACATCCTCTTCTTCTCTCTATTTGCCCTTCCTTATTATTTTTTCTCACTTCATTTTATTATGTCCATTTGAGTTCAGTTTAATATGATTGCTTATTTAATTCATCAGGAAAACCTCGATTTTCTTATATATAAAATGAAGGAGTTGAATTGAACTAATTTGTAATTCTCTCCCAGGGTCAGATTTTAGTGGATGTATGAATCTGCATGACGTGGTAATATGGACATTTCAGGAGCAAGGCAGCTGGAAATATTTGGGGGCGAGGAGAGATGTACAATAAGTTTGATTTCCAGTGTGATGAGGATGTTCCAAAAAATTTGCCATTTCACACTATAATAGTGCACAGAAGTACTAGAGTGTTAGTTTAGGGACACTTCTTGTGAAAGGCCTGGGGAAGAGGTCAAAGTAAGTCAAATCGCAAGTACTTTTTAGGCATTTGGTCCCTGTTCAAGGGATTGTCAATTTAAAATAGACAACAAAATCCTTATGTTCATATAGTTTACCTTTTAGTTCTATTAAAATTTTCCATTTCAAGGGAGGTTTTGAATGATTGCAAAAAGGAGAAGGCAAAAAAGTGGTCTTCTTCCCTATAATTAGTAAAGGATGCAATTGCTATCAAGAATTGCTTGCGTTCACTCATTAGAATTAAAATTAGTAATGTTTTGTTAAGGTAATGCACAACATAAAAGAAATGAAAGTAAATGCCAGTACATGAGTGCTATTTACTAATACCTCCAATTTTGATGTTCATATATCTAATTTTGCATCAGTAAAGGTTTCTTGTTTTAATAAATCCACATTCTAATTCTTTATTTCAATTGAGCATAAAATCTACCACCAGTAGATGTCACTGCACAAATGAGTAACTAAATCTCGCTTTATTTTTGCCGTTTCTTCTCACTTTTGACTTGATAAAATATGAATTCCAGAAAGATGAACCCTATAGAAATGAACAGGGCTGGTGTAGTAATGAGAAAAAAAGGTAAGATTCTTGTATCTGAAGATGTCACCTCAGGCAAAGGTTCTGAATTTCTTTTTAATTTACTGCTGAATTTAGAAAAGAAAGAATGGTTATTTCTAATATGTAATGTGACTTATTTGGAATTTCAATGCAGGTAGAATGGTTTAATTATTAAATGTTAGGGGCCCCGGGTGAGTTGCTCAGTTGGTAAAATTATTAAAATTTAAAAGTGATTACTATTAGCCTTTTATCTTTCTTAATGCACTACTTCTGGTATGTGACAATTGCATATGTCCAATGTCCAAATATAACAATGCACCAAAATATTAAAATAAAAATGGATGACTTAATTTAATATTCTAGGTATAATTGAAAGTCAGGCAGACTTAGATTTAAATCTGGGCTCTTACACTTAGAAACTGTACTGCTTTGGGAAGATCACTCAAAATATCTGAGCCTTGTTTTCTTCATATGAAGACTAGAGGGAATAGTATTTATTTTGTGAGGTCGACAACTAATTTTTTTCTAGGGTAAATGCTGAATTTTATTTTATTTTATGTTTTATTCATTTTTATTATGACAACATTGGTTAACAAAATCCAGTAAATTTCAGGTGTAGAATTTAACAATAAGGTATATATATTGCATTGTGTGTTCCCCGCCCATAGTTAGATTTCTTTCTGTCACCACATATTTGACCCCTTTTACCCCACCTACCTACCCCCACCCCGACCTTCTGGTAACCACTAGTCTATTGTCCATTTCCATGAGTCTCTGTTTGCTGTCCTGTTCGTTTGTTGCTTTTAGGTTTATATCCTACATATAAATGATATTATGTGATTTTTAACTTTTTCTGTCTGGTTTATTTCGCTTAGCATGGTTATCTCTAGGTCCATCCATGTTGTCACAAATAGCAGTATTTCATCTTATGGCTGAGTAATATTCCATTGTATATATGTACCATAGCTTCTTTATCCAGTTATCTATTGTAGGACAGTTCGGTTGCTTCCATGTCCTGGCCACCGTGAAAAAATTAATTTTATATTTGACAGTTATATAAGCTCTAAACACAAAAATTTAAGTTATCTTGAAATGCTCATGTAATAGAAAAATTTCCATTAAAGTGATTTTGTATGTGGGCTTGAAAAAATAAATTGAAGTATATGTTTCTTTTTTTATTCTTAGGAGACTTCCAATTATAAGGAAAATATACATTTTTTGGTAGAATTTGGAAAATGCAAAAAAAAAAAAAAAGAGTGTTTTAATTGGATTGTTTGTCTTTCATTGTTATTGAATTGTATGAGTTCTTTGTATATTTTGGATTTTAACCCCTTATTGGAGTTGTTTGCAGATATCTTCTCCCATTCAGTTGGTTGCCTCTTTGTCTTATTGATGGTTTCTTTTGCTGTGCAGAAACCTTTTAGTTTGATACAGTCCTATTCATTAATTTTTGCTTTTACTTCCCTTGCATTTGAGGTCAAATTCATAAAATCTTCTCTAAATCCAAAGTCCACGAGTTTACTACCTATGTTTTCTTCTATGCAATTTATTGTTTCAGGTCTTATATACAGGTCCTTAATCTATTTTGAGTTAATTTTGGTGTGTGGTGATAGACAACAGTCTAGTTTCATTCTTTTGCAGGTGGCTTTCCAGTTTTCCCAGAATTTTTATTGAAAAGGCGTTCCTTTTTCTACTGTATGTTTTTGGCTTTTTTGTCAAAAATTATTTGTCCATATAAACATAGGTTTACTTCTAGACGCTTGATTTTGTTCCACTGGTCTGTGTGTCTGTTTTTCTGCCAATATCATGTCATTTTGATTATTGTCACTTTGTAGTATAATCTGAAGTAGGGCAGAGTGATGCCTCCAGCCTCGTTCTTTTTTCTCAGGATAGCTTGGGCGATTGGAGGTCTTTTGTGCTTCCATACAAATCTGATGACTTTTTGTTCTATTTCTTTAAAAAGCGCCAATGGGATTTTGAAAGAAATTGCATTAAACCTGTATAATACTTTAGATAATATGGTCATTTTAACTGTGTTGATTCTTCCAATTCAAGAACACAGAATCTCTTTCCATTTCTTTGTATCTTCTTCAATTTCTTTTAATAGGGTCTTATAGTTTTCATCATATAGATCCTTCTCATGTTTCGTTAAATTTATTCCTAGGTATTTTATTCTTTTTGTTGCAATTGCAAAAGGAATTATTTTTTCCACTTCTTTTTCTGACAATTCATTATTAGAGCATAGGAACACTATGGCTTTTTGAACTATTGTTTACAATTAAATGAGATGATATATGCAAAGCCCTATAGAGAGCTTAGCATGTGGTTTATTACCCACTTCCTCTTCTCCCTTTCATTCTCCCTCCTCCACCAAGATAGACTTTCTTATAATTTTTGGTTAGAAATTTTAATGAAATCAAGTACCCCAATTAACTTCCTGCTGCATATAATTAATCTAGAAAATTAAATGTAGAAGTGTGCATTTGGAGTTGTTTAGAGACCCAGTCTGAATAAATCAAGCCAAAATTACTTTTTACTGCCTCAAAATATATTTAAACTACATTTCAGAAATGGTTTCCTTTAAATCCTCACTTCAAATGTAGAGATAAAGATTGTACACCTGTTTTTTGTTTTGTTTTGTTTTTTACTGGCAGCTGAAAGATTGGAAAAAATATAAACCTTATCTATTAAAAAACATTTCTCAGTCCTCTGAATTTCAAGCCTAAGGGCATTTATCAAACATCTTTCTCTAATTCAACTCTATAGATAATATCTAAGAAAAAAGCCATTTCTAAAGAGATTGCAAAAAACCTTATCTAACACACTTTGCTAGTCATCTTTTATTACAACTATAATAATACCTGAAATTGGAACTTGATTCCTAGAACTGCTTATGCAACCTCAGAGTTTCCTATAAAGCAGATTGTCCCCAAATATTGTTATGGGTTACTAAATATTTTATTTTTCCATTAAAGCATGTGTCTTGAATAAATTTTGCCTATAAAGGATAGATAAGAATGCACTACGATCTTTTTAAGCATTTGCAGTAATTGATTTTACAGGGAAGAAATTGTCACCTGTGTCCTGAAGAAGAAAAATAAAATAAATTTTAAGGGAAAGATGAAGCTTGGAAAATTCTGAAATATAGGGAATGTAGACTGATGGAATATGTGATGGAGGAGAAGCTTTGGAGTCAGATAGACCTGGTTAAAAAACTTCAACCCAACATATGGTAGCTGTATGATTTGGGGTGAATTACTTTTTATTCCTCAGTTTCTTCACCTATAAATGAAGATAATATGAAGGCCTGTCTTACAGGTTTGTGATGAGAATCAGATGGGATACATATGTAAAGCACTCAGAATAGTGACTGGTACCCAAAAAGTGCTCAATAAGTGTAAAAATGGCAATGATTATTATGATGATGATGGTAATGATAGATACATATGTAAAGCACTCAGAATAGTGACCCAAAAGGTGTTCAATAAGTGTAATAATGGCAATGATTATTATGATGATGATGGTAATGATGGTGTTGGTGATGATGATGATGAGGGGTCTCTGCTGTAACAGAGCAGGCTCATTTAGGCCAGTAGATTTCCACATCCTGGAAATCAGAATGTGCAGAAGGATGGGGAGCCATGGGAGTTAGAGAGTGTTAAATGACATAAATTGCTTTTCAGCTTGCTGGAATTCAACCCCATCTAACTTATCACAAGGATGTTGCCTCCCTTCACAGGAGGCAAAGAAAGTCAACAAATGACCTTGAAATCCTCCAAAATCTTACAAGGCAGTGATTGCTGCTCCCTGTCTTCTACCTTTATCTTAGAAGTTTTTCATCTTGCAGATTGTTAGGCAAAATCTTGATTCATTTGAATAAATTAGATTGAAAAATTACTTCAGATAATGTGTCTAACTATAATTAAAACTGATAAATTTTATGTCTCATCTCTTGTCCGCCAAGGATTTCTAGACTAACACCCAGAGGACTAAAACATTTTCCTAAACTTCTAATAACAAATTAATTAGATCAGAGATAATATTGTACAAAAACTTTGTTGCAAAATCATTGAGACTTGAATTTGAGTTCTAGGTCTATTGCTTTCTATTTATTGGACTTTAATAACCTACTTTACTCTTTTGGGCCCTGGTTCCTTGCCGGTGAAATAGGGATTATAATTATCAACTTCAAATGATTTCTGTGAAGAATAAACAAAATGGCAGTTGCAAAGGGCTCATGGGGCTTGCTACATGGGAAACACCTAATAAATATTCCTACTATCATAACTTTATTAAGATTATCATTATGGTTATTTTTACAATTGTCATTATTATCAGTGATAAAATCTACATAATCTAAAAGAAAGGTAGCCATTAATCTACCTACTCAGGATATGAAATAAATTTAATATACTTTTTTTTACATTTGATTTCTTTTTTGTTAGTTTATCCAAAGTAATTTGTGTTGTGGCAATCTGTGAAAGGATATGTTAATTTTTCTCTAAGCGCCTAGAGCAAATTATGTCAGATATGATAACAAGAAGTTCTGAGGAAAGTAAGATAGGCCACACTGGCTGTGTTAGATATAATTCAAGTACATGCATGGTGTGTATAATAATCGTTTTAATCAGACCATTGAAGAATGCCTTTCCCTCACAGGAGAACCTGGACTCTTCATTTCTCAAGTAAGAGCAATGAATCCCTTCTTTGATTATGCTGGGAATAAGAAGAACACAAAAGAAACTGCTTTGTGATGTTTTTAAGAAGAGAGATGTTTATTTTAACACAGGAGATTTAATGGTCCAAGATCAGGAGGACTTCTTTTATCTTGGGAACGGTATTGGAGACACTTTCAGGTATGTAATATCATCAGTTGCACCGACTGTTCCACGATTGTGAACCATGCTCCCAGCAAAGCTCTGCGAAAGCATCGTCGGTCCTGAACTCTTCACCTTCGGGGCAGACTGAGCCTTATTGTCCCCGTCATGTCCCTCCTTTTAAAAATCCATTGCCCATTTGTTTCTAGAATGAAACATAAGTTAAGTTTTGATGTCAGTTTTTACAATTATTTTAATGAATCCATTTGGTCCAAATTAGTGAGCTCCGTTTGGGTTTTTTTGTTTGTTTGTTTTTGTTTTTTTTTGTTTTTTTTTTAATATCAGACAGATGGGAAGTCTAGATGGGAGGGTTAAAACAGAAAACCAATTTGGTCAAATATGGTCTAATTCTTGACCTAATTATAAAAACAATGAAGTGACAAATTTTCTTTCTATTATTTTCTTTTTTAATTACTTAAAATTATTTTAGGCCTATGAAATTATTTTACTTTATTAATCAATAACCATAGAATATTGAAGGACAGACAATAGACATTCAAAAAATGCTTGAATGAATAAATGAATTACACTTCCTACTTCCTCACCTTCTTGTGCTATGTTAGGGGCTCACTTTATGTAAAATTATATTGATTAAAATAAAATATGCATTAATACACACTAAAAGAGCCAAAGGGATTAAGCCCTAGAAATTAAAGCGGGTCAGTGCAGTAAAAAACAGCTATAGCTTTCATTTCAGTTTTTTCTATCTCTATCATTAGCGATAACTAATGTTTGTACTTAATTATTACATTTTAAAATGAAGTTATCATTTTATTTTTGTGACATAATAAAAAAACAGTGACAGTAAGCAATTTATACCAATGAGACATAAAGTAATTTTAACTAAAAAACAGATAATGTTTTTGTTGACTTATCAGCAAAGTGCTTCTTTAGAAAATGACTTTCATTTTGAAAACTGCCATTGTTTTTGGTTACTATGTGCTTGCACAGAGACAATGCAAGGCGCAAAAACTAAAGCTGGGTATCTAGTTCTCCAAATATAGGTGCACTGACTGGAAATTGTTTTTATTGAGATGGAATGTTGCAACCACAGAGGTTGCTAATGGTATTGGAATGTTGGATTTCATATAAGAATCAAGCATCTGTGGCGTGGCTGTGCCAGGTAGGACTGTATTTGGGGTTTTGGAAGGATTCTCAAAAAGAATGTGCCAACTTTTCTTTCACAATGCTCTTACTAATTCAACATTTCGGTTTTTATCTGTTATATATATAATATTAGTTTTACATATTATATATATAATAATCATATATATTAATTATTTTAGTCTTATCTTGGCAAAAAATGCCCTAGACCAAGCTAACAAACTTTATGGTCGCATCAGGGGAAGGGTACCCACTGAATTTTAATGTATGTGTGTATCTTTAAGCAAAGCTTGAAAACTCTGGTCAGTAACTTACTGCTCTACCACAGCTACAGCTTCTCAATAGTCTATTATTTTTGTCTTTGTGACGAGAGTTTATACATGCCACTAGACAGAAAAGTGTTCTAGTTTAAACATTTAATAACACTGGCTTGTATTAAGTTGAATCTTTTTATTATTTTTAAATGTGTTTGGCCTCACTTATCATTATGAATATGCATATGAAGATTGTCTCATGATGGTGAAAAAGGCAAACAAAAGTGACCAACTTGAAATCACAGGATTTCCCTTCGCTCTTTTTTTCACAAGTGATAATATTTGCCAACTAATGTTTGATGGGAGGTGACAGTGTGGATAGGGGAGCAGAGAAAAGGAGTGTTTACTCTAATAGCCAGCCACTGAGTGCTGGAAAAATGCTACAGGAAATTCTGATCCCCCGGAAAG